AATACATACACTTTGCATCAAGGCTGGAGGAGTTCGCCCTCTTGTGGTTGTTCATAAGAGTTAGTCCCTCTGCAACGTGCAAGTCAATGAGTACCTGCACTACAATCTGCTGCTTTCATCAAATTAACTCGCACACACACACACACACACACACACACACACACACACACACACACACACACACACACACACACACACACTTTGAAACACCTTAGCCGTACTGCAGTGCTCCTCTGAGCTCTAAATGATCCAGACTCTCCCTGATTGATGTCCAGATTTAACAAATAGGACAAACTGAAGCATGGCGTTACGTTCTTTTTTTTTTTTTTTTTTTGTACACATACACCCAAACTAAAAGATCTCTGATCAAGTTTTCTTGTATTAACTAAAAGGACAAAAGCTGCTTTGTAATGAGGTAAAAATAAAACATTACTAATAACATATATTACTTTGACACTGACTGGACCTGCTGACAAAACGACATGACATACAAATAAGTTTACGATGAAAAATGTGTTTTTGATGAGAAAGTGCAGGTCAGCAGAAGTTGTGAAGTTCCAGCAAAGATGCAGCGTTTGCATAAATGCTGAAGAAAGTAAAGGCACAGATTAGTTTTCAGCTGTTTTCCCTCCTGTGGAAAATGCCATGTTGCAGAGATGAGTACGAGTTACAAGCTCAGAACTGTTTGTACTCAGGGCAGCTGCTGAGAAGTGATAAGCTGGAGTAAAATGATAAAAAAAGCAGAGGAGTTTGGCTGTCTCTAAAACAGGCTGCGGTTTAATATTATGCAACCAAATTACTTTTTTAATCTCCAACCTCCAACCAAGTGGTAGAAACAACTTCTCAGTTAAAGAGTGAACTTTTACCCAATTTTGACATCATTAACCTGAGTACAAATATCTGTTCATCTGTTTTTTACTGACTTCATAACCTTCTTTCTCCATCTGAAACTCCTGAAATAACAGTTTCATCTCAGGTTTGTTCTCACCTAACTGACAGTAAGCTTTATGGGCTGAGGATAGGGTTTGGGTTCACACCCCTTCACAGCTGGACTTTCTGGACTTTCGACCGTTCAGTTCTCTTAGATCTTATGGCAGCCTTTGACACCATCTCTCTCTTATTGTCCTCCTTGACAGACTCATCACTCTTAAACTACAAACTCTCAGGTCTCACCCAGTTCACTCTACTCAAAAACTTAGGATCCAGGCCCATTCCACTCATGACTAGAGTTCCACAGGGTTCTGTTCTGGGGTCTCTTCTCTTCATCATCTATCTGCTTCTCTTCAGCCATATTTTCTTTAAATTAAACATCCTTTTTTTCACTGCTATGCAGATGACACCCAGCTCTTCCTGTCCAACAAACCTACCTCATCCCTGAAATGATCTTCTTCTCATTGGTATCAAATCAACCCTAACAAAGCCAACAGTTTCTCTCTCACCATCAACAGCTCCTCAGTTTCTCCCTTAGACTTGACTCAACTCATTTTTCATGGGTTTCCATTTGGTGATAGCACCTGGTACCAGATACTTCTTTTAGTACCTATTGACTGGGGTTCCAAATGACCTGAGATAGGCTGAAAATGTGGAGTTAACCAAACTGAACATTTTAAAATCTGGTAACAGCGGCTGTGCATTTGTGTCGCTTACAAATGTCTTCACAGGAGTTTCTGGTGGCCTGGTGATGACCCCGCCCACTTTGAGGTGGTACTCCATTGAAATGGAATTGGTTTCTCCTCTGTGATGTTCAGGGGTCTTTGTCTGGATTTTTTCATTCTTTATTTTCTTCCTCATGTATTTGATTCTTTCGGATTGAGTTTTGTTGTTGTTTTTGTTGTTTGTTTGTTATTTAAACTGTTTGTTAATCTGTTTTAATTAAATCTTTGTTAAAGGTAGGGTAGGCAGGAATACGTTAAAGAAGTATCTTTTTTGTGGTGTATATACAAAAAAGCTTTTAATATCAGTCAATAGCGATTGGTTATTGATGACATTTAGGAATACTACAATATCGCTGTGTTCTCTTATGCCTGCATAGTCAACATTTAAAAATTTTTTGAGTGTCCTGCTCTTTCTGACTCCAAACAAAACCATTCTCCGCCTCCCCCAACCTGATTGATTGTGGGGCAAACGCTGCTCCTTTGTGCTGATTGGTTGTTTAAAGTGTTAATTATGACATGATGTCTCAGTTTGACTCTGGAAAACTGATCAGATTTTTATAACATAATCTCTGCTGGACGTCCCAATCAGTTACAGTTTAATAAATTGACTTGAACTCTCAGGGTTTATGTTTTTTTTTTCGGGGCATTGAATCTGTTTCTTTGAGATTGGTTTAACTTTGTATTAAAATGTGAAAGTTCTTGCTCAAAATTCAGTGAGGTACAAGATGCTAGAGCTAAAAGTGTTACAACCATCCCCAGTCTCCCCTAAAAGTGTATAATCGACCATCTTTATTCCTTGACTGCTGTCACAATGGGAGAATGAAAATAAAATTTTAAATACTTTAACTTTCTTGTGGTTTTATTGTCTACATGTGAACAAAGAGCTTCCTGTGTTTGCAGTGAGACACACCCACAGTAAAAATCCTGCCTGAGCTAAAACTTACCAATCAAAGCGAGGAAAAGAGGGAGTCTCATGTATTTCTACAGCAGGAGGTTAGAAAAAAGGGGGCATCTCCAGATGACATGGGCTGTGTCCAAAATGGCATACTGCCTACTGTCTACTTACCTACTCAATCAGTACATACTGCATACTGAATACTCAAAGATGATTTAAGTATGCCACGGCTGCCCGATCGTTTACATACAGATGCATACTAAATACCCCAGAATGCATTTCGTGCTGGCTGGACTCAGCGCCGGGAAAATTTAAATAGTCCTACCACAAGCTACACAAAACGACTGCATTCCGGACAGTGGGTGGTGTTTGCATCTACATACCGTAAACACCGGGCAGCAGCAGCTCCCCCTTCACGTTTCCAAATTATTGCGAAGTGTTTTCATAATCAACAACTATGCGACACAAACCGAGCGGCAGTGGATGAAAAAAATAACACAAACACCTGTGTATCCATGGTGATAATGCTACACACCACCTGCTGGGCGTGTGATGAGCAGCATAGGGCTGCAAAATGACCAACACACAACATAATTATTATGACCTTGTTCAGTTATTCCTTGGCAAATACATCATTTCCCGACTAAATTCTTTTTATGTACAATGATAATTTCAGAAACCATCAGGTAGTTCTGCCTGGTGTAGGCTGAAAACCATAGAGCCCCGCCATGCAAGAAGACAACGTCTTTTCTTCAGGGCAGCTATGTACTTCCTAATGGATTTTCAACCACAAGTAAGAATTAGTAAAGCTCACATATACATTGTCAACTGGAAACTCCCCCGTTTGTATATTCTGAACCATGTGCTCTCTACCAATAATAATGTTTATTAAGAGGTCTGTGCTTAATATGAGTGACCACTTTGATGATGCATTCAGAGATGAGAAGATACTCAAACTTGTTGTGATATAATATAATATGATAAAATGATAAAAAATTGTGTAATGTATACTGACTAAATATTGTTTGTCTATTTATATATATATCATTATTATTGCAATCACATGCCATCTATTTCTTTTCAGCCTCGAGAAAGAGGGCCATATTGCCAGCTGAAGTGCGCAATGCATTGTAGGGCAGAAGCAGTACGTGAAGCAAGCTCCGCTCCATACTCAGAAATCGAAGCCGATTGAGTATACATCCGGGCATTTCTCGCATACACAAACAGGGCTCTCAAGTTTTGAACTAAGCTTAGAGTGAGATTTCCTTGGGGGGGGGAGTGATTGAAGATAATTATAAGTATAATAATCTCTTAAATACAACGGAGTATGAGGGCCACATTAAGAAAAAAACGTTTTTAAATCTTCGAGAATAAAGTTATCATTTAGGAGAATAAAGTCATCAAGATATAAGATAAAAGTTGTAAAGTTACCTGTTGTGGAGGAGAGTTGTTAAAATCAGCACTGTGGAGCATTTAGATGAATTGTACTTCAGTATAGGTTTCACAAACATGGAGATACTCAATCCTTTGGTACATGCGCGTTACACTGTCATGAGTATCAGAACTTTAAAAATAATATATGAGAAATGCTCCTTTATGGAGGGGGAAATGGCTGGAAATGGCTGTACAGAGGCTAAATCCGTCAATACAGCTGTTAATAGCAATAGCATAGGGCTTTAGTTTATCATTTGAAGTTTATATGCCATGAGGTGTTGAGGCCTCTGCATGTGTAGGTTACTGACTTACTGTAATCATCGGGTCTATCTCGTCCTTATAAAAACCTGCTCTATTTCGGCGAGTGTCTGTCAAAATCAAATCAAAATCTACCCGGATACAGCAATGCTGCTTTTTGATTGGCTGTTCAGTAGATATACTTTATTTGATTGGCTTGTGCGTGGCACGCAGCTTCTGAACTCTCGGAGGAACTCACTTGATTCCTACCTGTTCCATAGTTAAAGAGGTGCAACTTGGGGGAAGTCACCATGTTCATTTAAATGCGTGAGAAATACAATGTGTGGCGTGTGAGCGTGTGAACGGGTGGGAATACGTGTGTCACACGCTGAATGCGTGAGACTAGAGAGCCCTGCACAAAATTCGCATACTGTACAGCGTGAACGCACTGCCTACTCAATTCGGGGGCGGGGTTAGTATGAGTAGTACGAGTAGTATGCCATTTCGGACACAGCCATGTTCACGGAGCGGAGTTCCCCACGTGACTGACTGGATACTCCTGCTGGCTCTCGCGGAGGTGTATAAAATCAGGACGCACAGGAGGAGAGGACCACTGTCTGATCGGCATCACCGGGCGTGAGGAGGTAGCATCCGCGCCCCGGTCCTGATTCTGGGTGCCGTTTTCCCCTGAAGAGACCGTCTGTCTTTTTTATAACCCTCCTCCACCTGCATCGATCCCCCTTCAGCGCCTCTCCGTAGAAATCCTGCACAGGGTTTGGATGTGTCCTCCGGCTGCAGCTGTGATCGCGGTGCTAACCGCCTGTGCCGCGTGCGCTGCGGGGAAGAGCCAGCAGCTCAACTACCGACCCATCATCGGTAAGACCGGATAGGATGGACGGGTATCCGCGTCGGTCCCTCTCTGTGGAGAAACCGGCTTCAGGCGACCCGTCCGATTATGACATGTGTTATGCAATTGTCACGGAGAATGTTCGAGAAAAGGTGTGCGTGCGTGTCCCTGCAGTGTGTTTCAGGCTGTGCGTGAGCTGTAGGATGTGATTTAAAGATTTCTGAATGATGCATTGTTATTATTATTGTTGTTGTTGTTGTTATGTACGTCGTTGGGCTCGGTTTCCTTCTGTCAGGGCTCCACCTGTGTGTGGTTTGCAGAAAAAAAGGTGAATTTAGCTACAATAGGCCACTTTGGTTTAATACTTTATGGGACTATCAATGAAATCTGGTCCCATTTTGGTAAACAGGGTCCTTTACATATTCATACATAAAATTTGATGTAAAAAAGTAAAAAAAATCTGTTTTCCAGAGTTATGAGAATAAGAGAAGTTCTGTTGAGCTAAGACACTAAGTTCAGCTACAATAAAAGACAACAACCATTAGGAACAACGCCACTGCGAGGTCAGCTAACAGCTTTGAACCTCCTCCATCTTTCCTTCAGACAGACTGAGTCTGTCTGAAGGAAAGATAGAAGAGGTTCAGCACTCTGTGAGAGACTGTGTAAGCGAACAGCTCAACAGTTTCAGAATAAAGTTCCAGAGTGGATTTCATCATCTACAGTACATAATATCATTCAAAGACTCAGAGGATCTGGAGAAATCTCTGTACTAAAGGGACAAGGAAATTGGAAATCATAGATGCTGCATCCTCAGTTTTAAAGAGCAGAAGGTCCACTCGGCTTCTACTTAGCTCCTAATCTAAAGCTACTGTTCAACAGTGAAGTACGAGTGCTACTTGTGCTTCAGTGGACACATTATACAATCTTCCAGAACTTTCCGAGAAAAACCAAAACATGCAAACATCACCAGAGAGATACAGATGTCTGTAGGCATGTCAGGACTTGTAAAGGACTGGGGTATCGGTCTGTAGCCCCCCTGGTCTTTGTAGCTTCCTAATCCCCTCTCTGTTTTGTTGTCACTCTCTTTTGCCCTCTAGGTGTGTTGGCTCAGGAAAACCTTCCAGGGGACCAGCTTGCTCCCGCCCCCTCCTACATCGCAGCCTCTTATGTGAAGTACCTGGAGGGAGCGGGGGCCCGGGTTGTACCCATCAGGTACACTGAAATCCAACACACTGGGATCTAACCCTGATGACTGTCCCTGGTGTCAGTTTTCATCTGTTGGGTGTCTGTTGAACCTTTCAGTGTTTGCTCGAATTTGCATGATGCCTTCACTGTCGACACAGCCGACACACCCCTGTGACTCAAGGATTTATGATCCATTTAAGTTGTTTTGGATTCAACAAACATGATGATTTTGTTTCCAGAGATATTTTACACGACTGTTTGTCAGAACAAACATCAGATGTGTGAGAAACAGTAAAAAAAGAGCAAAGGAACCAGTTTTTCAGGCTGCTTCTGAACCTCAGCTCCACTCAGACCTAGTACACTATGGTCTTTTGTTTGTCCTCTGAAGTTCCTGTTTGATTTCAAAGAACATGTGACACACAACATTACAACACCATGTGGTTATTTAGGCAACAAAAGAACCACTCAGGATACCGGGAGAAGCTGTTTCTGATAAAACAAAAAAACCCAGATATACACTGTGAAGTGAAGCTGTGCCTCCAGAACCTGCAAAAAAAGTTCTGCACGACTAAAGCTCTGAAGATGCATGGAGCTTTAGTGGGTTTCACTATAAACTCTGTAAGTATGATCAGTGGTAATGCTGGTGCTTTCTATCAGACAGTCTCCAAGTGAAGGTGCCAAAGTTAGCAGAACCCAGTTCCACCCAGACTGTCCAGAACAAAGAGTTACTGATCTTCAAAACCAACAGAGTTATTCATCATGTTTGTTTGACTTTGTGGGTGAGGCTTATGGACCGTTTACTCAGAGGTCATCCCCCTGACTAACTAACACTAATTAGTCAGCAAATGTAGGAGCAGCCGTGAAGTCCACTAGGGTCCCTGGGTTTGTACCGGACTCCTTGGACTTTCAGTTATGGTGGTGAAGAAGGATTTTATGTGGATGCAGTCTATGCAAAGGAATCTGTGCAAACAGTTTATAACCAAACAAATTTGGTCTTGCTGGTAATGATCTGTACCAAGATTAAATTCTGCAGCAGTGATGTTCAGAGAGCTTGAACTGCTCCAAGTAAATTCCTCAAACCAAGAGCTTCACTTTTATTTTTCTTTGAAAAGTGTCTGCCTCTTAAGTCTGCAGTGACCTGTTATGATTTTAACATCTTTAAATTTTACATGTTGTACTCTTTTTGTCTCTTTGTGCCTCATTCTGTTACCAGAATCAACCGGACAGAAGAAGAATATAAGAAGATCTTCTTTTCAATCAATGGGTGAGATGAACCGCATGTTATGTCTCTTAAATGCAGACCTAAACATACATATCTATCATTGGACATATGTTAGAAGTTGACCTTTTCCCAGCATGCAGTGTTTGTGTCAAACCCTAAACTGTCTCCTCAGGCTGCTGCTGCCAGGTGGAGATGTAGACATTCAGACGTCACAGTTCACACGAGCCGCCAAGTTCTTCTATGAGTTGGCTCTGAAGGTGAGTCCGTGTAAAAGTATGTAACAGTCCGCCCTTAAAGGGAAACAGTAGAAGAAGAAATCATCCACAGCTTGGTCAGTTTGGTCAGTGTTATTTCTTCTTCCTCCTGCAGGCCAACAATAACGGAGACTTCTTCCCCATCTGGGGGACGTGTCAGGGCTTCCAGCAGCTGACCGTCTTCACTGCTAACAAAAACCTGCTCACCCTCACCAACACCAAGTCTGTGGCTCTGCCTCTCACCTTCACACCAGGTAATCTCTTCTTTGCTTCGGTTAGACTGACTGTACTCAGTTGCACCACCTTGAACCCAACGGCAGGAAGATGTAGGGGAGCAACCCCACCATCTTCTAGGTCAGTGGTTTTCAACCGGGGGGACACAAGCACAGAATGGGAGACAAGGGAGCGCAGACTTACTGGCTATTTGTACAAAGGAGATGTAGCAGAGTCCGAAGCAGTTGGACTATAGACCAATTTACAGCTTACCTCATCAAGAAGCTGCCTGCACAGCATGGCAAGTGTCAATAAAAGTAGCCTACTGTTTGCCCCAGCCACTCAAACGACCAAGCAAGCAGGACAAGCGTCCTGCTTAGTCCAACCGGTGACGATCAGTCTCTACAGGGAGAGAGGCTCACACACCGAGGATCTTTCACAAGGTTACGTTACATCATATTAACTGTATAAACTTCATTACCAGAATCTCCCTCAGTAACACACCTGTCTCCTCTCATCCACACAGACACACCTGTGTTCAACAAGCTATAGCTTTTTACAGCAGCTCATTGCACCACACCACTGTTTAACAGAGATCTGATATAAAATAACAGACGAAACATGACCTCAAAACACATAAAACGTCCTGATCTCAGTCCACCTCACATCCAAGCAGAGACATAACTGATCAAACCTTCAGGAAAATTTTCTTACCTTCACTCTGGAGTCTAAAACAGTCAGCATTGTCTGTCAGATTATTAACCTGAGGCCTATTCTACGAAGCAAGTTCAACCTTGGAGCTACCTCGCTCAACTTAGCGCGGTAGCCAGCGGTCTCGCTAAACGGTCTTACGACACTGGTTATCAACCTCGTAAGTGGATCCAGCTTTGCTATGAGCATGTGCACGCACGTAAGGCGGAGCCCGCCGCATCTGACCAATTGCAAATGTGGACCAGTCTGGAGCATCACAGCAGGCCAGAGAGCGAAGGACCGCGTACTTTACAAACGAGGACTAGGAGACGATCATGAGAAAGTATGAAGAATTCAAATCTATCATAAACCTCAAAAGCGACACCGTCGCCGCTGAAAAAGCACAGAAAAATTGCAGACAGTCTCAATGTGTAAGTATAGTGAGCAAAAAATCTTTGATGCCATTATCACCCTGAAATAGCACTGTTCAACATGCGCTTTTAACATGCACCAGACATGTCTAATTAATTTCCAAGATGAATTCATTCATTTGTTCATTCCTATCATGTTTACATTTTTGTGTGATATGTCGGCCATATGAGCCTTTCATAAAGGTGGTCATCCAGAAAAGTAAGTGGGTCCATGCGGTCCCTGAAAACTCTCGTGTGCCGGAGTGCTCCTCAGACAATGCAAGCACCGAGGTCTATAGGATCCTCCAAGAACGGACAAGCCATTTTTCGAGAGAGCTCATTGGTCAGTGGGTGGGGTTTTTATACTCAGTGAGTTCAATCTGGAACCTAACCTGCCCCGGAGCAGGGGCCTATTCTACGAAGCAAGTTCGACCGAGCGAGGTAGCCTTGGAGCTACCTCGCTCAACTTAGCGCGGTAGCCAGTGGTCTCGCTAAACGGTCTTATGACGCTGGTTGTCAACCTCGTAAGTGGATCCAGCTTTGCTATGTGCGCGTGCACGCATGTAAGGCGGAGCCCACCGCATCTGACCAATCGTGAACATGGACCAGTCTGGAGCGTCACAGCAGGCAGGAGAGTTAAGGACTGTGTGCTAAGTGGGTCAGTGTGGTCCCTGAAAACTCTCGTGCGCCGGAGCATTCATTGGACAATGTGAGCACTGAGGTCGATAGGATCCTCTAAGAATGGGGAAGCCATTTTTGATATAGCTCATTGGTCAGTGGGTGGGGTTTTTATACTCAGTGAGTTCAATCTGGAACTTACCTGCCCTGGAGCAGGTTAGCTGTTCAGCGTACATGGCCATGGAGGCTCGCCTCGCTAAGAAGTGAACCCCGGACGTAGAACAGGAAACCCCGAACTTATCCTTGGAGTTACCTCTCTAAGCAGTAATCCTGCTTCATAGAATAGGCCCCTGTTGGAGCTGGATAAGTGATTCTGACTGTTTTGGACACCAGAGACAAGGGAAGAAATTTTTCCCCCCGTTATTTTGTGTCAGATCTCTGTTAAACAGTGGTGTGGTGTAATGAGCTGCTGTGAAAGCTATAGCTTGTTGAACACATGTGTGTCTGTGTGGCCCACTTGAGAACCTCTGTTCTCGGTAATAAGGAAATGAGATGGGGGGGCCGACCCTTGTGGCTCTTCGGGCGCTGGTTGTACAATATAACTTTAACAGACAGTGGTAAAATCCCCTTCATGGGAATCCTGCTGGTAATTTGCTCAGAGTCACTATTTCCTTCAAGGACTCAGGCAGTCAAACTGGGAGCCTTACCTGGCTCATATCTCCTGGTGCCAAGAGCCATTTATTTTCATTGTACTGAAAAGTTTTGAGGAGTTTGTGTTTAACTTTTTTAATAAACTTTTCTTCAACACTGCTGATGAAATCATGCAATAGAAACTTTATCAAATGTGTTCACATGAGTCTAGTCAGTCTTCTGACCAAACAGGAGACGATGACTTCCTGAAGTGACTTTTTGTCTCACTTCATGAAGAGATTAGATCTCAACATCACCACAAACAGTGAAAATGCATTTTTCTGTGGTTAAAAGTCAAGACAGGGACACTCTGATGTCTCTACAAGTCCAACCCACAACCAAACACCTGAGGACTGTTAGGCCAGATTACTTTTATGAGTAGTAACAAACCTAAAAAGACCATGATATAGAAACTGACTATCAATCCTCCCCCTGATCTTTGAACCACATCTTCAAATCCTTCTCACAAAGTCACAAACTTTGGAGAGTAGTTGTGGTGTAACTCTCAGAGACAGGAACTTTTTGAGACACTATGACACCATGACCCTTACCTGGCTCACACCTCCTTCAGTAACGGGTCAAAACCCATTTCTGGGCAGGTCTCCTATCAGAGCCCGGTGAAACAAACCCTCGAACACAAACAGCCCTTGCCCTTGATTGTATTTATCTTATAAACTTTGGTTGAAGTGTTGACCCGGTTCACTTATACCCTCCTGGAAAGTTTTGGAAATGTCCTGATGAAGTTTAGAATGTTTTTTTCACTGAAACGCAGTGAAGTGTTCAATAAATTCAATGAGATATTAGTGTAAAGTTGATAATCTGGTGCATCAACAGTCAATGAAACAAACACTTAATTGTAAGTGCACTTTTCAAAAACTAAAGAGTGTGTCACTTATTTTTAGATGTTTACCTTCTCTGTGATTTAAGGAGCTGATTAAAGCTAACCATCAATCTGTCATGGCTGATATTCAGACACTTGTAGAGTTTGGATGGATGTGAAAAGAGGGATTCATTTATCTGAATCACAACACACTCAAGTTTAATTTTCATTCAGTAAGACCTGACTTGTATCTTACAGGACACTCAGTGGTTCATGACTCTCATTTTGCACATTTGGTATTCAGATGAAACACTCTCATCTCTGTTAGATAAACTGTTGCTTCCTCATTGTTGCAAAAGAGTCATGTTGGTCTGCAGCAGTGCAGAAACTTCTCATGATGAAGTTGTGTTTGCAACATCATCAGACTAACTAGGAACCCTGACTTAAAAACCTCACCAGAAAACTCGTGCATGACGTAAATGAAAAGTTGTAAAGGGGTTCATAGATTTGTTAGACACTGGTTTCAGTCGTGATGGTTTCTGGGTCTCCTGGTCTGAATCTTCCTCCTTTTATTATCTGTGTCCCTCCTCTAGCGGCAAACTCCAGCCGTTTGTTCCAGAGTTTTCCAAAAGACCTGATGCAGTCTTTGTCCGAGGAGAACATCACCGCCAACTTCCACAGCTGGAGTCTGTCCATACAGGTAACCGACTCTGTCCCTTCCTGGACTCTAAAAGACTTTGGTTTGATAATGCAAAGATTTCAACCACCTGAGTCTTACCTGGGGCCTATTCTATGAAGCAGGATTACTGCTTAGCAAGGTAACTTCAAGGGTAAGTTCGGGGTTTCCTGTTCTACGACGCGGGTTCACTTCTTAGAGAGGCGAGTCTACATGGCAACATACGCTGAACAGCTAACCTGTTCCGAGGCAGGTTAGGTTCCAGTGAGTATAAAAATCCCGCCCACTGACCAATGAGCTCTCTCGAAAAATGGCTTGTCCGTTCTTGGAGGATCCTATGGACCTTGGTGCTCGCATTGTCCGAGGAGCACTCCGGCGCGTGAGAGTTTCCAGATGACCACCTTTATGAAAGGCTCATATGGCCCACATATCACACAAAAAATGTAAAAATGATAGGAATGAACAAATGAATTAATTCATCTTGGAAATAGATAGATAGATAGATAGATAGATAGATAGATAGATAGATAGATAGATAGATAGATAGATAGATAGATATACTATGTCTGGTGCATGTTAAAAGCGCACGTTGAACAGTGCTATTTCAGGGTGATAATGGCATCAAAGATTTTTTGCGCACTATACTAACACATTGAGACTGTCGGCAATTTTTCTGTGCTTTTGCAGCGGCGACGGTGTTGCTTTTGAGGTTTTAGATAGATTTGAATTCTTCATTACTTTTTCATGATTGTCTCCTGCTCCTCGTTTGTAAAACACGCGGTCCCTCGCTCTCTGGCCTTCTGTGACGCTCCAGACTGGTCCATGTTCACGATTGGTCAGATGCAGCGGGCTCCGCCTTACATGTGTGCACGCGCTCATAGCAAAGCTGGATCCACTTACGAGGTTGACAACGAGCGTCGTAAGACCGTTTAGCGAGACCGCTGGCTACCGCGCTATGTTGAGCGAGGTAGCTCCAAGGCCGAACTTGCTTCGTAGAATAGGCCCCTGATCTGTCTATGTGCCTTTGTGTTGACAGAACTTCACCAGAAACTCTAAGCTGAAGAAGTTCTACAAAGTTCTGTCCACCAACAACGATGGGAAGAGAGAGTTCATCTCCACAATGGAAGGTAACTTTCATCAGAAGAAACACAAACCTTTCTGACAAATCCAACAGATCAGAGATGCATGAAAACAGCATTTAAGATAAACTTCCTACAGCTTTAGTCTGATATTATGATCCAGGTTTACTCACTTCTCAGCCGTGCAGACAACAGAGTGCATGTTCTCAGCTGTCCACTAGATGGCTCCCTCGCACACTAAACCAGAGCTGTTGGTGAAGCTCACTGACAGCAGGAAGTTGTTTTGTACCCTGATGTATTTCTGGTTTTCCTCAGCAAAACACTACCCATTCTACGCAGTGCAGTGGCATCCAGAGAAGACACCCTTTGAGTGGATCAATAAACCCGGGATGGTTCACACCACATCCGCTGTGGCGGCCAGTTTCTACACCGCTAGATTCTTCATCTCTGAAGGTTACTCCCTGTTTCTGTCTGTCCTGAAAACAGTTCGAACTTCACCATTCTTCACTCTCTTTATTTACATTTTCCAAGCTTAATGCGGTCAACCTTTTTTAGGCCGAGGTCAAGAGATTATGAGGAGAAAACTGACCTCCTGTGATGCTGTGCTTATCAGATCAGAGGATAAATGACATGATAAAACAGCAAATACAAACACATGAGTATTTCAACTGTTTATAACTTTGAACGTCAGCTTCTCCTGACTGTAGTTTAAAGGCTGGGATGGAGGTGTAGTGGTTCCTTCTTCTACCTGTAAATGCAGATTATCAGCGTCCACTGGTATATTCTCACTTTTCTACAACAGAAGGAGATAAAGATATGTTGTCCATCTTTATAAGAAATAGGTTGACCTGGCCCACACATTTAAAGGACTTCTTCTCTGTAGCTGATGGTGCAGGGTTTTCACAGTGATGGGGGTGCAGATAGTGCCTCATTTTCCGACCTTAACATTTATATCTAAAATGTACTCATAAAATTTCAGAGCGGATACTCCAGAGAAAATCTTCAGATGCAGAGATCACTGATATTTTCAGAAAGTGAGAGTAAGAGTCGACAAGTGTTGGATTGTCTGGCTCATCTCCTGGTGCAGAACAATTCCTGGAGATCCCTTTCTCTTCCTGTTTTTGTTTCAATTATTTTTTATTTGTGAAGTCCAATCTTACTGCTCCAAGTTACTTTAAAAAATCAATACTTATCAAATTAATTTCATTTAATGGGCCTAAAAGCAGAGTTTCTGTTTTTTTTCTCAGGGTTAATCACACTATCGTCACTAGCAGACAGAGTTTGAAAAGTTGTAACTGCGATGCAGATCTGTCATTTTTTTCTCAGTCAAGTAAGTTTAAAATGAACCAGAAAGATTGAACTGGTCTTGTGCTTGAATCACATAAGTCTCTCTCTCTCTCTCTCTCTCTCCCTCCCTCCCTCCCTCCTGCAGCCATGAAGAGCCAACACCATTTCTCAGACCTCGTGGAAGAGGAGCGAGCTCTCATCTACAACTACTCTCCAGTCTACAAAGGGGTCCACGCCATCTTTGTGCAGAACTACTACTTTGATTGACAAAACTTTGTCATAAAGGGGACCGGGGCAAACTTAATGGTTTTCTTAAAGAGTTCAGCTGCTGAATACGGCTGATTTGTTGTCTAAAATGGGAACAGGACACAGATGAATACTCAAGACAGGAAAATAAAAATATGAGCAATTTCAATGTTACCAATGCGTCGAGTGGGAATATTAGTTTACTGTTACTGTATTTGTGAGACACATGAACTTTGACTTCTTACTTCTCTGCATTTATCAGAGGAAGCAGATTGATGTGACTGTGGTTTTAAAAGAAAATGAAATCTTTTTTCAGATTTATGAGGAAAAAGTGACACAAATACAACTTTTAGTGTTTATTCTGGTTCGACTTTGAGTGTGAGACACCCATAAATAAACCACCACATGCTTCAAACTCTGGTTCAAATCTTCTGACACTGTCATGGTGATTGTTTCATTGCTGCCCATGCTAAGACAGCTTCAGGAACTCTCAGGTCAGATTAATTTTGGTGCCCTCTGTTGGCAAAGATGTGCATTTTGTCATCACGCTGTCAATCATTTAGTTTCACAGTGACCCTCTTACAGCAAATTTAGGGAATAAATGAGGATTAAAGATTTGTCAGTCTCATTTTGATGGTTTTGTTTGCAGGGACGAGCGTTTATTTTCATCTACTTTCCAAACGAACAGGGCCGTGTCCAGAAATTGGGTGGCCCTAGTGGGACCCTGACATACGTACAGGTGGCATGATGCATGCAAACAGTATATTAATATAATTAATAAACCCGGTCAGTTGCCACTCATATTAGTTTTGACTCCACTCATCAAAACATCTGTGATATTCCTGTGTTTAACTTCAGGCATGTCTTATATCTATACATATCTTTGTGTCAAATTAGCTGCTGAGTCCGTTTATATATTGTAAAACAATAAAGGCGCAAATTTGAGGACAAGGAAGATGATTCCAGTTAAACTACAAAGTGCCTGAAAAATGACAAGTTAGCAAAGACGACAAGAAGCTAAACTGGAGAAACACACGAGATAACATGATCAAAGTTTAGACACTTCATTAGAAAGAAAGAAGACATCTGTTCGTCCCACTGGCATCCCACATCTGAACCAGTTTTCTGAAACCTTGTGCACTGATGTCCACTAGATGACGCCATAATACCATAAAAAAATGCTGAGCATTATAAGCTCCTCCTGTGCTGAGTTTACCTCTGCAAGCTTGAGGTGCTGACATGTTTGAATAACAATTTTAAAAATCTTCTTTACTATTTTACTTCGAAAGTATGAACTTAGAATAAAAGAATCAAATAGAAAATAGAATAAAAAACAAAATAGAGTGGTTCTGTGTGTGTGTGTGTGTGTGTGTGTGTGTGTGTGTGTGTGTGTGTGTGTGTGTGTGTGTGTGTGTGTGTGTGTGATTCATTATGAAGATATGATGGTTACAGGTTTTGCAGTGTTAGAGGGACAGCTGTCTTGACTGATAGCTGGGTACACTGTGACTGTAAGCTAAGAAGATAAAGGTCTGCCTTAACTCGACAGATAGGTTGAATCAAGGATGAACTTCAAAACCCCAGCTGTGAATAGCTGGCAGCACTTCGACTATTTAACAGCCTCTGATGGCCAGTTTGCATGTAAAAATGAAGTATTTTTAAAAGACTCCAGTGTTGAACCTGGTTTCAAAATTTGCATTTCCAGCCTCAGAAAAACAGCATTTCAGTGTATAATAACAAACAGTATTATTTGTTGCCTGTAATATCGTGAAATGAGACATTTTCTTGACTTGAAGACATTTTTATTAGAAATTCAACAAAAATGATTGATAAAATTGAAGCTTTTGCTTACGGGGTACATGGTGTTATTGTTATGCCGAACCAGCACATTGTTAAACTGACATATCTGTAGTTTCCCATGTTTCCAGAGACAGTGAATGTAACACTTTAAACACAGCCTTTACTCTTTAGATTGAACTTTTATTTACGGAGACTTGTGCAGTTCATATTTATATTTATTCAACAGGAACTTATTCTTCACATTTTATATATACCAGCCTATCAAAGCCAGGGCCACTGATCCTTACTTACAGTGTGTGCATGTGTGTGTGTGTGTGTCTGTGTGTGTACTTGCTATTCAGACCTTAGACTACAGATATGAGGACTTGTCTAGACAATAGATCAGTTACTGCTCACCGTGGGCGTCTCTTTAAAGAGGTGTTTATTACATGCACACTGACACACACGCATGCACGCAGACTTGAGCTTGTGTTTTATGGTTTTGTTGGTCGTTGTTTCTTTTATCTGATGTATCAGAGTCTCCAGGACCTTGAGAGAGAGAAAAAAAGCTGTTTCAGTGAGTCTTTGAGTGGTGATGAGAGGAGAGGAGATAAAAGGATGGAGGAAGGACAGAGGAGATGAAATAAGGAAGGAGGAAGGAACAAGGAGCAGTTTAAACACCTGCCAGGACGAGAACAAGGAGGAGGATGAGGAGAGTTGATCAGGTCAGAGGGTTTTATTGTGCACACATAAGTCTGGTGTTGGTCCACACTCACCTGGTGTGTGTGTGTAGGTTAATGGGTTCACTCACAGGCCTGTGTAATGGATGATCTATAGCTCTTCATTGCCTCTGTTTCTGTTTGATTGCAGGATGACTGACTCTGGGTCAGTCAGGTGTCTCAGTGGAAAACTGGTAGAGACATCTATACACCTACACCAAAAAAAATCACTCACTTATTTATCATGGACAGCGGTATTTTAAAGATGAAAAAAAAAGGTCTTCTTGGTTATGGTCCTTAATTAAAGCCTCAGGTCCAAGTCAAGTCTGTCACATTGGGTCGACAAGTCTTAAACTTGAGTCACGTGTCTGGTTTAACCACAATGACAGTATTGACAGATCCCTGCTGTGTAACCGAATCTTATACAGCAGAAAAGCTTTCATGGCTGTGCACAGTCTATTACTCTGCAAACCTTTGTCTTTATTTGGCTTAAATGAAAAGAACATCCAGATCCAGAGACGGCCTCCAAAACAATCTGGACATGTATTTGAACCTGCTGCTCCCAGGACTCCCAGGAGTCTCCTGATTGGATGTCAGACTGAACTGTCCCAAGCACACAAGCTTACGGGACAGTTTGAGCTTTATTAAAGGGTTTAATTTCCTCCGTAATAACTCATAACTGCAGTGTGTATACCAGCTGCCCGTCCTGGTCTTCTTTACAAGGTTATTTATGTGTATACTGAAATAAAAATGACAAGACTCACCTTATTTCTATCCGTGTGCCCTCAGCTCCAGTACCCTTTAGACATGCTTTCCACACACATGTAGAGCTGATGAATGACACTCGTGTTTTTAATTAAAAAGTGGATCAAAAGAGGACTGAAGCCAGTCTCATATTTGTTCCTGGAGACCCATTAATTACTCAGAGCTTCACTTTCATCAATTCATGAAATAACTTAATTTCCTCCACATTATTGAGGCACAAGGGCACACGGGATCCAATCAGAGGATCTGCAGTTTATTCAGTGATTGAGTGTGCCGGGCTGTGATGGTTCTATAAGCAGGGTAATCTTCATCAGACATGCTGAGTGAGTTCCTGCAGAGCGTCGCTCAGCCACAACATTACCTCTGAATCCACAACACACACACACACACAGTCATGATGGTATCTTCAATCAGACACAGCCGTGCTGATTCACATACACACACACAGAGTAATTCCCATCATCACCATCATCATCATCATCATCATGATTGTCATCTTCATGATCGTCATCTTCATGGCAGCAACATCCATCTCATCCACCTCATTAACCGAGAGACAAGGGTGTCAGGATCGTATGAATGCACACAAACACGCACACACACACAAACACACACACACACACACACACACACACACACACACACACACACACACACACACGCATGTGCATGCAGTCACTTGTTGCACAGGCACACACTTAAATGCACAAGCAGCACACACTCAAACACCTGCTGCGTGGTGGTGTTGATCCATCATTTGCATCCACACCCTGTCATTATCCATGTAGCATATAATCACTGACAGTTAGCCAGGATTATACACCGTCCACAGAGTTATACATCATGGCGCCTGTGATTGGAAATGATAGTGATGGGCTGAAGCTAAGACACAGATTTAGGGATTTTAAAAACGGTGTCACCCACAAAATGAACATCACCAAACTTCTTCAAGTTTAAGACCTAAACAGAAAAGTGTGGTGTTGCTCTGGGACCTGGATTTAAAAGAAATACAACCACATACCCCAAAACATCCACATGTATAAACTAATGATAATGAACACATTATATAAAATGTCTAATAAATGCCACATTCAACTGATCTACAGAGACAACAGTAGAATCTGAATGCTGTCAGGTTTACTCATCAAATGCAGCAGGAAACACTTTTTCTGTTTGTTTCAATTTTGGTGTGTAGGAGTAGATGTTGACATCCCTCATTGGTTACTTGAGGCACCGATAAGACTCTGTGAAACAGTAAGTGAGTGATGGCATCCTTTGGGTGTTTTGCTGATAGGCCCACAACACCTCCAGAGGGTTCAGCAGTCCTTTGGTTCACTCCCTAGATGCCTTTAACTCACCTGAAGACCCAAGTCGGGTCCTTTCTCTTGATTCACCTGACACTCCTGACTTGGAGAGGTCTTTGACAGAGAGGCCTGTTGGTGGACCTTCCCATCTCTCTGAGTAGCCTGGATGTTGAGGTGGCTACAAACCCTCTGCAGTCTACTTCCACCAGGTGTACCTTCACTTTCCAGCTTAACTATTGTACATCGGCATACTTCAGATTCTTCTGCTCATTGGCCTTCTCCACTGCGCTCTCCCAGGATTCCATGAGCTCCATGACAAGCAAGGTTGACCACAGACCAGGGTCTGGTCGCAGGTTGGTGGACATGATCTCAGCTGGGGAACAGAGTTTCTTGTCCAGGTCTGCCTGCAGCTTCCTGTCCGGTGCTCTGCCCAGCTGCCCAGTGTCTGGTCTTTCGGTGGAGAGGCTGGCTTGACCTTTGCCCTCCTGGACAAATGATACTGCCTGCCAATGGGATGAAAGGGGAAGAAGTGCGTTGACGCTTTCCAACACTGCTGCAAGACACTTAAGCACCTGGTGGCCATGCTTGAGGCTGGCTGTACATCCCACTAAGATGATCTTCAATGTTGCTGGAATTGGACACAGAGAGGATGTGGGATCTTTTCGTCATTATGCTGGTTTAAGTTTGGAGGAGAAGGCAGGACCTCGTGGGCAGCCCAGATGGTAAAGCCCGCCCTAAATCAGACTCCCAAGATTACCAGACTACCAGATTCCCAAGATAAACTTTGAGCAATTGTAAACAACAGGATCCACATATTGAACACGTCAGGGTTTGTGTCTTTGTTTGTCTTGTTTGAACCGTCTCTTGAAAGGCGACCTTGAGTGCTTTGAAAGGCGCCTGTAAATAAATGCATAATTATGATTATTATGAAATACTTCAGTCCATTCAGTGTCTCATCTTTTAAAGTAAATGTGAACATTTGTAGACAGCAGATGAACTGCAGAGAGGTGTGGTATGCTGTGAGACATTCAGAGCGTACTATCTTTCTTTTTTATGGCCATCTTCCCAGTCTGGGGAGGTTTTGATATTTGAAACTCAAACCTTGACTGATAGTGGATGCCAACCGGCTTTAGAGCCTCAGTATTTCAGTTGAATGTTTCGTGCTCCCAATCGCTGTTTCCATAAAAACAATGAGGAGAGATAGGACTGCCGTGAGATTTCAGACCTTTTCTCTATTTAAGGTTTTTATTTTCAGAGGTTTAAGGCTGAAAGAGTAAAATATAAACAACATGACATCTTTTCAATCCTCATATATACTGACGCAGGAGAACAATATGCAGAAAGTCTGAGGAATCAGTCGACAGATTACCCTTAAAGTTTCAGCTCTTATGAGTGTATATGGTCCTGTACATAGCAGTACAAGACTACATCACAGACACTTACTGCTCTGTCACACACACACACACACACACACACACACACACACACACACACACACACACTAGGGATCTGGTTCAGCCTGGCTTTAAGTCTGGATAAGACGAGATACTTTGGTCAGTAATTGCTGCTCCTTTCGCCTTTGAAGTCAGGTGAGTCAGTTTAATCTATGAACCAGACTCACACTTGGAGGGGAAAAACATCACCTAAGGTAACCTTAGGCCTTCAGAGAGAGAGATGGGGGGAGGGAGAAAGAAAGGGGGGGGGGGGGGGGGTACTTAAGAGAAAGTTATGGGTGTTTGGAAAACCAGAGAAAACAGGACGGGAGGCTAAGAACTGGCAATGGTAAAAACCCTGATTTCATCAACAAATCTTTGAATCACAGCTCTCTGAAAAACAGTCTTCTCAGTCCTCGTTTGACATGCGTTTGGACACTCCACCTGACCGAATTAACACAGCTGAAACCACATTAAATTAAATATCCAGTAGACAGTCACACATGATAAAGTTAACAAGATACTTAATTCGTCTCCCAGCTTATCCTCCTTCTTCCTCACGCAGCTCGATAGGTCCCACTGAGCAAAAGACGTATATTAGACGTCTAGTCTAAATTTATACTTCATTTCAACGTCAGGATTCGGTCTATTTCTAGACGTGATTTATACTTCGCCCTCAACTTCATTTTTCAATAACTTTTTATACAATAAACAACTGTAATGTGCATAACTGACCTCTAAATACTGGATTACATTACTTATGATACCGTGGAGAGATATGCAGCATAGTATAGATGTAGACGTCATTTACACGTATAAATTTATACTTCATTTCAACGTCTAGATTCAGTCTATTTCTAGACGTGATTTATACTTCGCCCTCAACTTCATTTTTCAATAACTATTTATGCAATAAACAACTGTAATGTGCATAACTGACCTTTTAATACTGGATTACATTACTTATGATACCGTGGAGAGATATGCAGCATAGTATAGATGTAGATGTCATTTACACGTATAAATTTATACTTCATTTCAACGTCGGGATTCGGTCTATTTTTAGACGTGATTTAGACTTATAAATTTATACGTCATTTCAACGTCTACATATATACCGAATCTAGACAATCGATTTTAATCCACACTTCAAGAGTTGATTATTTAAAATGATAACTGAACGTTGCAGAACTGATCCCAATCTATGGGACTACTATCATACTCCTGAGCGTAACCAGTCTTTTCGCCATATCCGGTCAAAACGCATATACGGCAGAAAAATAAAATAAAGAACAACTTCGGATCTTAAAGCCTGGGTCCTGCTGAGTACTCGACAACAAAGTTGGTCGCTGAAATTCAATTTAATTCTTAGATTTCATGTGTTTTATTCGTCTTGGTAACACCGGCTGCCACCGTGACAATAATCCAGCCACCTTGTTGGTGGAGCACGCTCACGTGATCCACCGTGCAACCACTTCTGGTAGATTATAATTCCACCAAGAGCAAAGTAGTCCCTGATAAAAGTTATCGGCATAGCCGCAATACTACGAGATGAGCGACAAAAAGTATTTGGTAGCTCTGCAAGAGCCCAGCTTAACACCTGTTTGGAGATCGTACCATAATCGGACCATAACATGAAAACGGCTTCAAATTGTGGACCGCACAACATCCGGCTGAAGCATTGCGCTTTGTACACACTCGACCTCACGACCGTCGGAGTACACCAGAAGTTCCAGGAGTCACGGAGTTCGAGAGTTATACATTCTGCTGAAAAGAGGTGAGGGCTGAAGGAGATATTATAGAAAATGTTTATTTTTGCAAGCTTTGGTCCTCCCACCGCCGTGCATCATGATGCGTGACGGTGAAATGCATTTACAGCAAATGTTAAACTCGAGTTCGCATGTAGCCTGGTTGCTACTACGAGGGCTAGCTTGTGGCTAGTTTAGCCAGCATTAAATAGTCCATGCTAACGTGTGTTGTCATGAAAGTAAATAAGGGCCTGCTCTCTCTGTTGGAGCCAAGTTTAAAAGCTGCTAGTTAGGCTATCCAATTAAATTAGAAAATGAAGCCTATTTTGATGCCAGTACTGTTGTTTTTGTTTATCCAGTGGTATTTTTTCATATAATTAAATTTGTGTTTAACTGTAATTGTCATAGATTGTGTTTTCACTATGTGTGGTAGAAATGGGACGCATTAGTTGAATTATTCCAATACTATTTTGTTAATGCATTAGCAGTGCTATAGGAAATGCTAATAGTAAAAATCTAAAAGTACTGGTATCGACATATTTTTTACCAAGAGCAAAAGATATTCATTATGCATCATGTCCTGTTTCACAAGTTGCCAATTGTTCTAAAAAAACAAAACAATTTTATAATGGTTGATCTACAAGTTCACACTGTTATTAACATTATTATTTTTCTACTTTCTTTTTTCCATGTGTTTTCTTTCCAGCCAAATTGAATATGGCCTCTAATTATTTGAAAGAGTGGCGGAGAAAAAGAGCTAGGGAGGGTGATTTCATGGATGAATTTTTGAATTGGATTCAAGGTAAGGATTTATCAGGTTTAGCAGTGGTTTTTAAGTAGGGTGGGGGCTATTTTAAAATAGTGCAACAGCATATGATTTTGTGTTTAAAAGCCAAAGTTAAGCACCACACTCATCATCCATTTATTGTCTCGTTCTCGGATTTTGCAGCGAGGAAGAGGGTTTATTCCTACCCAATGCCTGAGAAAAGTAAGAGTGGCATAACTACAGTACAAAATGTTGTTAAGTAATGTATTCTAATTATTGAATTGAATGTTACTAAATCATATCTTTTCACCAAGAGTTCCAGCGGGTGGTCGTGGAAACACTTTTGGAAATCTGCGATGAATTGAAATCGCTCAACCAGCAGGGGGACATTGAAGATGAGGGTGAGCAGATACGTCAGTTGCCGTTAAGGACTTTGGAGGAGGCTCAGCGCATGTCGTTGGAAATCAGTAGGCACCCCAGCATAAAACGTTTACTGGTAAGTCAAATAGAGATGCTAAAAATGATAGAAATCTATACATTAGACACTCTTGATAATTTGATTATATCATACAGATAAAACAACTGTCACACCTTGGGGGGAAGGACATTAAGACCTGCACACGCAGGATCCTGGACAGGTATGAATATGACAGCAAGACAATGTTATTAATACAATCATGTACTGTTGGTGTTTATCAAGTCTTTCTAGTGAATTGCAAGAGTAAGCAGTATTATGGTGCGTTCACACAGGCACTTGCGCAACGGCAGCGAGGGTTTCTCTGAGGTTTTAGGGAATTGTTCCGCAAATAAAGAGCTGCGCTGGACACGGTATCCGACGAGATCGAGGGGAAACCTAGAGCGGGTGTGACGTAATGCGCAACGCGAATTGACGGTGGCAAAGTGACACGTTTTAGGACACAAGACAGGACAAGTTGCGTTGCCTGTCCGGTGTGAACGCACCTTAAGAGATTTATTTGTCTTTGATATCCATTTCAGAATTTTACACAATGACGTGCAGAGGAAGTACAACCTCCTGGGTGGAGGACGCCAGGGGAAAAAAGGCTTTAAGAAAACTGCTTTCTTCACAGTTGTTCTTGGTAAGTGAATTATATCTCTGCAAGTTATTACTTATTCTTGGTCATGTTACTGACTCATTTAAAGCCTGAAGCTGTAAAAAAGTGGAGAATCCTTCCGGACAATACTAGATAATTTCTACACTTACTATGATTCAAGTTTCTTTTGTTTTTTTTCTTTTTGCAGAGTCTGTTCGCATCAACTTCCCGACAGCAACAGAGGACCTGGTCGCAGCATCGATTGGGGACCATTTGAAACAGGCACCAGCTCGATGTGGTGGGAGGGGCACCACCACAACACCACCCTGCTAATTTTTAAAAAATATATATCTTAAAATTGTTAATATTTATAGTTCATTTCAGTATTAGTATTACTTAAATTTTTCAGTATGTTGTTGTTCTTGTTCTTTATACTTTGTAGCTATGTTTGTACAGTATATAGATATATAGATTTTTTTTCTTTTTTAAATGTTCGTTTTACTAGATGTGAGATTAAAAAATTGTTTTTCCCACTCCATGACTGTAATGGTTATATTCTGAGTGAAAAATGTACTGTGATTTCAATTACAATTGACTGATCATTGCCAAATGTGGATCAGTGTTAAATTATGAATGAGCATGACTGTAGAAGCTATTCTAAAAGGTCCAGAAAGAGAAGCAACATTGCCAAATTAGAACATCCTGGGAGTACGTGTATCAAGGTAAGCAGCAGGTAACTTTTGGTGTAGAGAATCTGGCTCTTCAGATGGTCCCAGCAAGCATTTTGAGGTTGATTATACGTCTAATATACGTCTAAATTTAAAGTAGAAGTCTAAATTTGGTATAACAGAGGTATAGAAATGAAAGTTTTTTCAACGTCGAACTTTATACTCTCTTTAAACGTTTTGATTTTTACGTTGTTTCACGTGTTTCCTGTGAATATTTTCATCAATTAACATATATCAGATGCTTATGGTAATACGCATTGTTGATATTTAGTAAATTTATTAAAATATTTATAAGAAATGATTGTGCCTTTAGGCGTCCGTTGGACCTGTAGTCTAAAAATGGTTTAACAGTGGTATAGAAATGAAAGTTTAATAGACTCGTTCGGTCAGCGCCGTAGGCTGACCGGGGACCTGCGGGCTCCAGCGGCCGCCGCTGTCGGGCCGATTTGGACCAGATGTCTAATAAACGTTTAATCAACGTCTGTGTCTATACCTGGGTTTATATTTGGTAGAAGCATGAACGTCTAACATAAAGACGTTTAAATGAAAACGTCTATTGGACGTCATTTCAACGTTATAGATGGAACAATGTAGAATAAACTCTTTTCAATAATGTATAAATCAAAACGTTTAAACAACGTATAAAGTTCGACGTTTAAATAACGTATACATTTCGACGTTGAAAAAACGTATACATTTCGACGTTGGAAAAACTTTCATTTCTATACCTCTTATACCAAATTTAGACTAGACATCTAGTCTAAATTTAGACGTATAATAGACGTATAATCAACCTCAAAATGCTCGCTGGGGTGTTGTGCAGTCGAATGCACCCCTGCCGTAGTATGCATCCCCTGCATCCCATCCACTCATAGGCTTTTTAAAGTGGAAGAAAATGATCTCATATTAAATAAAATTAAAAAAAAACACGAGTATTAGATCATGACACGTGTTAAATGGAGCAGCAAACTTTCGCTCTGTTTTTAGGTATTTAAAAAATGCACATACAGAGGTGTACTTGGGTATTTAAACTGTACAGTAAGCTGTTAAGGTAGAGAACATTATATTTTCGGGGCAGCAAATAATTCAAATCAGAGGGCTGTTGTTTTCGGCTTATCTGAATAGCCTGAATGAAATCATTAAAGGCACACGCTTTTGAATCCATCCAACGGTAAGGAAAACTTGGATTATTTCGCCTTGTTGTGTACTTTCAACCGCGTTCTACAGCAGGGGTGCATTCTATGGCACAACACCTGACATGTCTCCGTGTCCTCTCTCCATCCTGTTGCTGCTGCGGTGGCACCGGTGACTAGATGATTTATTTTAGTGATCAGATGAGTTATTTACCTCGAAAATTTGAACAAAAAATAAAATAAACTTTCAAAATTACCTGTTTATCGGATTTTCTCACATCATTAAGATTCTGTAAATATTCAATCCGGAGTAAGGCCCACATACACACACAATTCAGTTCTGTGAGCCAAATTTATTTTATATGCCAACATCTATGAAAGAAAGAGCCAGGCCATGGAGCACAATACGTCCTTTACACACAGGTGGTTCCAATTTTAATGCCATTTTTGGAATTTATGTTGTGATCTGTGCACACAACCCACCTACATATATATATGCAACTTAGTGTGAGTGTCTTTATTTGTGGAAAAGGGTGTTTGTCTTACCAGTGGGTAACACATAAAACACACCAAATCCATCTGTGCTCATATGAGACAGTGTGCAGGATGCCCTCTGCAGCGCTTACAGTGACACTTGTTGAGGGGCTGCCTTCTGTCGCCATCTTGTGGCATTGCTGTCTTCAGCCATCTCTTGATCTCTTTGACTACTTAACGAAAATTGTTATAAGCCTCGCCGGTGGCAGATTGAAAGGCGTGGAGAGGAACTGATGTTATTGGTCAATACAGGTCTCGGCTGTGTTAAAACCATTCCACTCCTTCGCTCCTCCCTTCCTACGACTTACGCTGCTGAGAGGAGCTGAGTTAGGGAGGGGGGATGCTTAGGGGCTGCGCCGCTCACCAAAATACCAAATTGTGCTTAGGAACGCCTTGTCGGCACGGCGGACCCGACTTACGCTGCGCCCAATGTCTTTAAGTCGTATGATATTAAAATTAAATTGTCTTCAAGTGGTACAATATTGAGAATAAAGTACTTTTAAAGTCATATAAAAATAAGAATAACTTTGTCTTAAAGTTGTATGAAAATGAGAATAAAGTTGTTCTAAAGTTGTATGATAATGGGGATAAAGATGTCTTAAACTTATATGATAATGAGAATAAAGATGTCTTAAAGTCGTAAAATAATGTGAATAAAGTTGTCTTAAAGCAATTGATAATGAGAATAAAGATATCTTAAAGTCATATGATAATGGGAATAAAGATGCCTTTAATTCGTATGTAAATGAGAAAAATATGTCATAAAGTTGTAAGATTATGAGAATAAAGTTGTTTTAAAGTTGTATGATAATGAGGATAAAGTTGTCTTGAAGGTGTAGGATAATGAGAATAAATTGTGTGTGAGTTGTATAATAATGAGAATAAAGTTGTGATAAAGTTGTGTGATAATGAGGATAAAGTCATTGTCAAGTCATATGATAATGAGAATAACATCTTAAAGTCATATGACAATGAGAATAAATTGTGCTAAAGTTGTGTGATAATGAGGATAAAGTTGTGTTAAAGTTGTGCGATAATGAAATTAAGTTGTCTTTTAGTCTTATGATAATGAGGATAAATTTTAGTAATTATAAATTTAGTAGAATCATCATATCACTACGATTAAGTTGACGGACTAGAATTAAGTCATGATATGTGTTAATTAAGTTCTTGTACGGTTGTTTAATTATGAGAATAATTACATTACAAATTCATGATGATATTTACACTAAACTGTAGATACAAATCTGTGACCACTGATTGGAAATTAGAGTTCTCAGACTTTTTACGCTCTCTCTCATCGACTCTGTACTTCTTGATGTTGAATCTAGCAGAACCATCCGGCTTTTACTAAGGTTTTACAAGATTTGTTTCGCAAAAAGTTTCACTTTTATTTGTTTTCTTGTAGAGTACGCTGAAGATAGAGGGTGGGATTTATTCTGTATTAAATATTCAGAGAGCTGCTGTGTTTAAGTGCTGAGTTTTTCAGGCAGAATTTGCATTCAACAAAGAGGGTGAAAATTAGGATGGAGTGAAGAGAGAGGGAAGGAGGGAAAGTGGAGAGGAGAAGATATGTTATTCATGGAGGGAAGAAATTTGGGACTGAAGAGAAGTAAACAAGAACAGATGTTTTAAAGTCTTTATATCATGACAAAGGAGGAAAATTTGAAAACAGAGTGATGCTACGAATAAAAAAGGAGTAGAATATGACGGAGGGTGAGGATGAAGAAAAAGAGGGATAAACAGATGAGAGTTAAAGAGAGAGAGGCTGGGTGTTGATTTGACACATCTATTATGGTGAAGGATGAGAGGAGGAAAAGTGGAATTTGAGCAGATCACTCATTTTCCTCCTCCTCCTTGACTCTCTTACACTCTCCTCTCTATTTTCTCGGTCTTTTCCTCCATGTTGCTCTCTTTTTCTCTCTCGGTCACTCCCATGTGCCTGCCACCTCAATGAAAAAGGAGAGCTCTAATCTTTCGCCCCCTTCTGGATGATTACCATTTTATCTTTCAATTACCAATAATCCCTCTCATAGCTCGCCTCCTTCTATATCTCTGTCTCTCCCCTGCTTTCTCTCTTCATTTTCATCCTGACTTTCTTTCTTCACCTGGCTCACATTTGGTCCGTCTAATATGTACTTAAAGAGGGATCAAAACTTTTTTCCTCTTTCTTTCTCTGCTTTTTGCTCCTGCAGGATTTGTAGGTGACGACAAGGTGAAAACACAAAGTTTGGATTATAGCTTCCTCTAGAAAAATGTAAACCTTCATAAGCTTTTCTAATTTTTAGATATCAAAGGTGACTTTATAACTAGTTTTCTTAATCAGAATAAAAACAGTCCATTATAAAAAGAGAGTAGAAACCATTTGGATTCTTTAGATAAAAAAAAGTGACAAAAAGAAATGATACTAGTATTTAAATTGATACTATAACAATCGGCCGCAGTTGTTAATTAATTTGCATCATATGCAACTCTGGAGTCCTTTTTCAGGATTTGCAGTTTAGAAAAAGTTTTTATTTATCTCATATATTTCCACTCGTACACAGTTCGACACAGCTTGGGGTTGCTACTTATAAATTCAAAAAATAACCTAAATGTCATGTTCTTATAGAAAGCATCTGGAGTTAGCTGTTAGCATTAATTTAGCTCTCTATGTAGGTACATTAGAAAACATTAGCTCTTAGCATTAACTTAGCTCTCTATGTAGGTTCATTCATAGACATATAAAAGAAAGGCTAGATGAATCAAGGCGGCTTCCGTACACAGCGGCCATCTTACTTCAGTATACCATTCTGGTACATCGTATAGTAGCTGACAGAAGGTGAGTAATTTGCATGATCAAAAATACTCTTAACTCGCTGAAATCTTGACAGACTTAAACAGTTTTGTGTATTACATACCTTAATAACGTGGCTATGTTTCGGGATGCTTGGACATACTGAAATGGCAGCTTTTCTTTGCGAAAAAAAGACTCAATCGTGCAGCACAGTTGTTTCACGGCTATTTGCACATGCAATGGCTAACTTTGAGTAGCTCTGCGCGAGTTATCAAGGCTGAGACCACAGTCGTGATTTTAATTTTTTGTATGACAGAATATTTCTTTTTTGTTTAAGTGATGGTCTTTGTGGATGTGCTTGTGTTTATCAGCTGTCTAACTTGGCTAACAGTCTGGCTGTGAGTGAGACCACCTATTACAAAGTTGACCAAGCAACTTTACATCAGTGGGAAAGGCAGAAATTCTCTTTTGTTTCAACATAACTTAAGTCGCACAGGATTTCCAAGCTGTTTGGTTTGTTGAAAACATCTAAAATGGCAACATGAGGCAGAAATTTATATTGAAAATACATATTTATATATGTTATTGCTATATGTTATTATAGTTATCCTTATAATATAAATATTATAATATAACATACATGGAATGAATAAATGTTTTATATATAAATGATTTAATATAACTGCCTTGTGTGTAGGCCTATAGCTAGTACTCTAACGATCTGCTTAATGTTTATTTATGAAAATCCATGGTTAAAATTATTCTTGTGTATGCAGGAACATAACTAAAACCCCAAGGTTTGTTACAGACCAAACCATTTGAAAATCAGTTTAAAATTAAGCAATCTAAGGTTATTTAAATGCTACATGCACCGTAGACTGTAATGCTATAAGTGGGCGAGCTGATGAAGATGGCCGCCATGCGCGAACCATCTAGCGTTTACATACATACATACAAATATATATATATATATATATATATATATATATATATATATATATATATATATATATATATATATATATATATATATATATATACACTGTGTGCACAATTATTAGGCAAGTTGTATTTTTGAGGATACATTTTATTTTTGAACAACCCCAGTGCTCTCGGTCAATCCAAAATGTTAATAAACCTCAAACCTTAATATTTAAGGGAGTAAAAGTGAGATTTTGACTTCCTTAGGAGAATATCTATGTGTGCACAACTATTGGGGGCAGCTATTAGTGTGCAGAATTATTATGCAACTAAATTAAAAATGAAAAATTTTCCATCTCACTTGTTTATTTTCACTTGTTAAAGTGAGAATGATAAACAAACAACTCAATTTACAAATAAAAATTGTTGAAATTTAAAAAAAAAAAATCAGTGACCAATATAGCCACCCTTCTTTTCATTAACAGTCATAAGCTTTCCATTCATGGAATCTTTCAGTTTCTTGATCTGTTGACGATCAACTTTTTGTGTTGCAGTAACCAAAGCCTCCCAGACACTGTTCAGAGAGGTGTACTGTCTTCCTTCACTGTAAATTTCCCGTTTAAGAAGGGCTCACAAGTTCTCAACAGGGTTTAGGTCAGGTGAAGAAGGAGGCCACGTCATTATTCTTTCATTTTTAAGGCCTTTACTGGCGAGCCACATAGTGGAGTACTTTGTTGCATGCAATGGAGCATTGTCCTGCATAAAAATCATGGTTTTCTTGAAAGATGCAGACTTTTGCCTGTACCACTGCTTGAAGAAAGTGTCTTCTCAAAACTGGCATTGGATTTGGGAGTTGATTTTAAGTCCATCTTTAACCCAAAAGGTCCAGCTAGCTCATCTTTAATAATACCAGCCCATACCAGTACCCCGCCTCCACCTTGCTGGTGTCTGATTCGAAGTGGAGCTCTGTGCCCATTACTGATCCAGCCACGGGCCCATCCATCTGGTCCGTCAAGAGTCACTCTCATCCCATCAGTCCATAAAACCTTTGAAAAATCTCTCATCAGATATTTCTTGGCCCAGTCTTGACGTTTCAACTTGTGTCTTGTTCAGTGGTGGTCAGATTTCAGCCTTCCTTACTTTGGCCATGTCTCTGAGCACTGATCATCTTGTACCTCTGGGCACTCCAGGTAGGTTGCAGTTCTGGAATATGACAGCACCGGAGGATAAGCGATTCCTGGTAGCTTAACGTTTGAGTCTTCTCAAATCTTTGGCAGTTAATTTGCGTCTTTTTTTCTGAACACATTTCTTGTAACCCTGTTGACTATTTGCATCAAAATGTTTGCTGATTCTGTGATCACGCCCAAATATCTAAGCAATTTCAAGAGTGCTGCATCCTTCTGAAAGACTTTTTACATTTTTTGACTTTTCAGAGTCACTTAAATCTCTTTTTTGGCCCATTTTACCTGAGGAAAAGAAGCTGCCTAATAATTATGCACACCTTGATACAGGGTTTTGATCTCCTTAGGCCCCAGCCTCCCTCATTACACTAATACACATTACCTGATATGCTTATATCCAATAAGCATTCAAGTTTATACAGCTTGGAGTTGGAAAATATGCATAAAAATGATGATATGATCAAAATACTCACTTGCCTAATAATTGTGCACACAGTGCATATGCATTGTGTTTCTGAGCTTCATGGCGTTCTTAAGAGGTGAACGGCTCCGTATTTCAATAACAGCTGAGACTTTGATTTCTTCTATTCACCAGATACAGAAGGCCTCCTATAACATATAATGATACAGTTAAAGTCCTTGGGCTCTATTTTCATGTCTGCCGGCTGTGTGTGGTGGCACTGCAGGGGGAGGTTTCGACAGAATCAGCTGGCGCAGTGACATTTTCGTGTTTGCCGCCAGTGTCTAAAGTGTGCTGAAAGCTCGCCGATTCAAACCTGGTCAGCTTTCAGCGCAGGCAGAGTGCAGCTGGTCTAGTGGTATTTTGGTAGACCGGCGGCGTATCGGCATACGTCACCGATGCCCTCACCGGCAGGTCTCCACAGTGTCAGGAACATTTCAGTGCAATAAATAATCATCAACAACTAATATTCAGAGTCAGCACATACATTTAGAGCTATATAAATATATTCTGATCTGAAGAGCGCATTTGGCACGCGTTTGGACACTCAATCTGACTGAATTAACACAGTTAAAACCGCATTAAATTAAATTAAATATCTAGTAAATAGACACACGAAGTTAACAAAATATGTAATTCTTCTCCCCCTATTTCTATCTTCCTCTTCCTCTAACTCGCGCAGCTCGACCTGGACATGTCTCCGTGTCCTCTCCCTGTCCTGCTGCGGCGGCTGAAAAGATGATTTGTTTCAGTGATCAGATGAGTTTTTTACCTCAAGCCTACGTAAGAATATGAAAATATTCAGTTTTGTGAGCCAAATTTATTTAAATGCCAACGTTAATGAAAGAAAGAGCCAGGCCAAGGAGCGCGATGCGTCATTTACGCACAGATGCTTTCCGATTTTAATGCAATTATTGGAATTTATGTTGTGATCTGTGCGCACAACCCATCTTTGTCACATGGGGTTTAAATATATGCAACTTTATGTGAGTGTCTTTATTTCTGGAAAAGGGTGTTTGTCTTACCAGTGGGTAACACATAAAACACACCAAATCCATCTGTGCTCATATGAGACAGTGTGCAGGATGCCCTCTGCAGCGCTTACAGTGACACTTGTTGAGGGGCTGCCTTCTGTCGCCATCTTGTGGCATTGCTGTGTTCAGACATCTCTTGATCTCTTTGACTTCTTCACAAAAGTTGTAATACGCCTCGCCGGTGGCGGGTTTAAAGGCGAGGAGAGGAGCTTATGTGATTGGTGAAAACAGGTCTCGGCTGTGTTAAACCCACTCCACACCCTCTCTCCTCCCTTGCTACGACTGGGAGGAGCTGAGTTAGGGAGGGGGGATACTTACGCCTGGCTGCGCTGCTCACCAAAATTCCAAATTGTGCTTGGGAACGCCTTGTTGGCGCGGCGGACCTGACTTACACTGCACCTGTGCCACATATCCGGCAAGGCATGAAAATACAGCCCCTTGACTTTTCGGGGTCTATTCTGGAGTATTTACTTGTGATTTTTGCCAAATGGAAATTGTCATGAACAAAACCAACAGTGGGACCCAAATGCAGGACATAGACTCAGTCCTTAAAGGCAAAAATCAGGCTTTATTAAAACAGTCCAGGTTCAGTACACCAAAAGCAGTCCAAATCGCTAGGCTAAAGGCAATTTCAAATCACACTAATAAGGTCAGACTCAGGCAGGCTATGAAAGACAAGACAAAATGCTGGAAGGCAACTGTGAGGTACAACTAACTGACGGCCAGACTGTGAGAGACATAAGGTTAAAATACAAGCGGTTATGAGGGTGGTGGGAAACAGGTGGAGAGACAAAATCAGGAGGCAGGTGTGACAAGACGGGGGCAGGGCAGACAGGAACAGATCTGAAACACAGACAGGGGTTAGTGAACTTACAAAATAAAACAGGAAATGCTCGACCTTAAATGACACAAGTAAAATACAGGTAACTTAACTACGATCATGACATAAAACATTGTAGGAAAATAACCTACATCAGTGCGTTATCTTGTTTTACATTAATGAAGTCTAAATCTGAATAAAAATTGGACTGGTTGTTTAGGTCTTGACTTGCAGAGCAGCAGCGCCTCAGTATGCAGCGTCTTCTTTAGGTATAGCAGTCCTTACCATTCAGGTTTTTCTTTCAGTTTTAAGGCTGTATTGGCTGAGTGAGATCATGTTGTTTTGTTCCACTTTAGTGGGACAACATAAACTGTGATTCATAAAAGAAAGAAACTTCGCTCGAGGTCTAGGCTGTATTGGGACAATTCATAATCTGAATTCACTTAAGCGTATACTAAGGCACCAATAACTGTTTCAGATGTTAGGTAGATGTATTTATGACATTTGAGAAAGATTTTGTCTTGCCAGAATCAACATAGCAGTTTCTACAAGCAAAAACAGCAGCACCATATAATTGTTTTTTGGATTACTCACATATATGTACATTTCTGGCTGGTGACCAAAGTCGGACAGATAGTCTGAGTAGATATTTTAACCCAAAGTCCAGAATGGTATTGTCAAAGCAAAAATGCATTGAACAAGTGGCACCAGTGTAGTGGAACGAAATTCGCTTTCTAGGCACTTTGTCCCAATACAGCCTAGACCTCGAGCGAAGTTTCTTTCGCGGAGTTTCAGATGCCGTGGACGTGGATGCATCAGCGATGCTGGCTGAAGGGTTCGACTGACCCGCGGCTGCATCACGTTCTTGTTTCTCAAACTCCTTTTGCAAATAAATCACTGGTAGCATGTCATGTGAAACCCTGCGTCATCAGGAACATTGTCAAAGTTGATATCAACGCAAAGTTTATAAGTTTCTGCAAGGTCCTTTGTCTCACCATGTAGAGAAAGCCACTTTCTAATACTAGTTCTGTAAGTTTCCCAACGTGTCCTTGTAAAGTCAGGAATGTCTTCACTCTGGACAGATGATAGATGCATACAGCATTGTTTCATTCCTTTTTTATGCACTTTGAAGGCTGTTTTCTTTTTTTCCTTTTCTTTTCTTCCTCTTCGCTTGTCTCGCTGCTAGATGCACTCATCCCCATGTTTGTGTTTTTCTGATACTATGGCAACGAGACTCGGCTCCTATTGGTCCACGTAAAAAAAATCACTTCACCCCTTTGCATATTCGATTGCGCGTGTGCGAGTATCACTGCGCTGCAGAAAGGAAATAGTTTGACACCGAAACACTGATTACTAAAAATCGACAGGATGGCATGAGTAGATATTTTTTTTAGTACTTACTATCAATAGAGCTATTCTATGAATCACAGTTAATGTTGCCCCACTAAAGTGGAACGAAATTCACTTTCTAGGCACTTTTTGCTTCGTCCCAATACAGCCTATTTCTGCAGAAGTTTTATCTGTTTTGTTTTCTCCAATTTGCTTTGTTGACTTTAAATCTGCACCTTTCTTCAGCTGCAGCCAGTTTCTTCTAAGATAAGTTTCACCTCATCAGCCGCTGATTTGGAAACTTTTATTGGTCAAGAATCTTCAAGCCCAAGTTTAACCTTTGACTGCCATCTTCAGGATGGCCTTTCTAACAGCCCGAACATTCCCGCTAAGATGATGAGAGGAGAAATGAGATGTTCTTTCGACGGCTCCCTCCTCCTGTTTCTCATTTCTTCTCTCTGTGGGTTTGTTCTGAGAAAGTCAGTGAGGAAATTTCTGACTCTGACTCCTTCTCGCCTTCCTCTCGATACGCTCAGCTGCAGGTTTCACATCAAGAGGATGATTTTTTTCCCTTCCTCTCTCCATTTGAAAAAACGCAGCAGAGGAATGTTCTCCTCTGTTTTTCTGCTCATCCTCTTTTTTCCTCCACTTTTATCTCTCAAAGAATACTTTATAAAGAATTGGGTTTTGCTGAGTTTT